TGTGGATGATGTTATTTTGGTGCTTGAAATGGGTTTATCAGAGTCTTAGGATCACAAATGTAGTGTAATATGTGAATAAAAATATGTGGATATAAGTTCTCCTCACCGCTATTTTCCAAAACCGCTACAGCAACTTCAGCAGCTGCAAACGTTTTACACACCACTCTCGTCTGCGACCGAGGCGACTGAATAAAGAATGAACGGTTTCTGAGGTGATGGTCAGTCCTTAGTGATTTCCTGATAGAGCTGTGCGATATGGCCAAAAATGTTATCACGATAAACAAAATTTATATTGTTCGATATCGATACATACCGCGATAAACATTATTATAAATCATTATTTCTTTCATGTTTGAAGGCTGATTTTTGCTCCTGGGGGTTAACTGCTGTTTTAAACTGTCCTTTATGGTTGGAACTCGACAAACACTCACCAAACAGTGGAACATTTCACAGATCTGTCATGGGAGAGTGGGAGAGAGTGTCTGCTGAGCTGTTTCTACCAGCTGGAAAAGCATGGCTGTTTTGTAATAGTCATAATTTAAGAAAGAAAACAGATTATGTTTAGCTGGTGCCGAGCGCTCGGCTACCCCGCTACACATGACATCACAGTATTCAAACACCAGCTAGACGACTGGATTTCTCTATACTATCGTAGTAGTTTAAGGGGTGAACCGCAAAATATCAACACCAGACAAACAGAGTCCTCCTTTTAGGAACGTTTAAACTGAAAGCGGTGCTTTTGCGTCGTGTTTGATCCACAGTATCATCAATTCTCCGTGTTGTGGAGTGACAGAGCTGCTTCAAGCTAGCCAGCTGCTAAAAACAGCTAGCCTGGAAAGCTAGCGCTCTCCCGCTCTCCAATGCCTCACAGCTTCCTCAGTTTACTTTCGTTTAAATCAGGGCTGTAATTTAGATGAACCACTTCTTTCTTTCACTTTCGTTGCTGGTGAACGCACCAATACTTAAACATGACTGAGCACTGTAACAGTGCTGTAGTTGTGAGGATTGTGATTTAACGCTGCTAAAGCTGGTTATGATGTTAGTAAAGAGGTGAGTTCACTGTAGGTCAGTACAGTTACACCACTGACCTCGTCACTCACACTCGGTCACAGGAGAACAGATCGCCGGTCGCTCCACTCAAACAGGGAATGTGTAACTCCGTGTTTCAGCCGTTGCTAAAGACTCATCTTACTCATGGCCCCTCCCTCTCTAATCATTTAGAAAAACTCGGAAGTGCGCCCTCTCCTGGTGACAGCAGAGTAGTGTCGCTTTCCTTGCAGTAGAAAACGCCACCAAGGCTTTCGCTGAACGTGGAAGTGTGAGAATGGTGTATTATGTCTAACATTTATCGAACATGTCGTATCGCTTTATCGAGGAAAATTTATATCGCGATAATTATTGTTATCGTTTTATCGCCCAGCCCTATTTCCTGAGTGTCCATAGCTCAGTTTCAGACAGAATGTGGACGGACACACAAATCCACCAGTTCCACACAGTTAGAGGCAGATGGCATGTGTCTCAGCTTATCTTCATTGGCTCATATGAGTCTTGCGATGTGATAGAACAGAAAGGGCGACTCTACAGATTCAGGAAATGTTTAAACTATATTTCTGCGCTGGATTATCACAAAGACATTAATAGAAACACTGAGAAACATCTAATTTTCAGGTTTCGGGTTTCAGGCTTGGTCTTTCTCCCAAATTTCAGTTATTCCATAACTCCATTTACTTTCAGAGGCATTATAAGCATATACTGCAATTGCATATAAGCAATTTTGAGCTGCGTCTAACCCAGAAAAATGCACTGTGGCGTTATTTATCCTGATAACGACGACAGATACCCACCCTCATGATAAAGGCTTCAAATTCAGCTTTTATTTTACGTTAGATGTTGTTGTTGCTGTTGTTGACAAACCAGGACAGATACTCAAAATTCCCACTCGAAACTCATGCGATGTTGATCAGTAAACATCACAAAAGCATGAAAGAAGCACTTAAAAGGGATGCATGACAAAGCACCTTTTCCGCAGGAAGGCCTTTTTTGATGAGCATCAATGTCAACACCATTAATCAGCTGTTAAAACACATGCCGCTGGATTAATTAATATGAGCTATTAAATTGATAAGGCGGTGTTAATGAAGGCTTTATGGAGAGAGGAAGAGCGGAGTGGAGCTGTAGGATGGTGTTACAGGATAAGACGGGAGTAGCAGAGTTTTTTTTTTTTTTCCTTTACTTCTTTGACGGACAGCTGAAGAGGGTGGCTGCTGTCTCTGAAAGCTTCTATGATGTTTATAGCTCTGACCTGCATGGACAAACACAGTGCAGGAAGCCGGTTGTCGGTGTGGAGACAGACAGGAGGAAGTGGCTCACACATAAACACCTAATCTCTGGGGAGATGCAGGACTTGCCTGCACTTGCTGTGTGAGGGTTGGGGGTTGCAAATGGGACTACATCATTTGCAGCTGAGGGACCAGTGTGTTAAACAAACAGGGGGGCAAAAATTAGAAAACATGAACTGGCAGCTGCCACAATTTCAAATTTGTATAGATAGCCATTACATCATGTCAAAGTATAGGAATATGGTAGATGAATTTCATACAAATCAAACTTGTGGGGAGAGAATAAAAAGGAAATCCACTGCAAACTACACAAATATATCACTGAGATTAAACTCATTCAGAGTGGTTTGGTGTGAAACGCTCCATTCTAGAGAAATCATTAAGTCAGAATTGTTCACAGTGGTGGTGATAGGAACCAGACGTCCACCTCTAAAAGCTCCCTCAAAGAAAGTTATTAGGAAATGGTTATAATGTGTGAGAGAGGAAAAGTGACGAGTGTTGGAGTGACAGAAAGCTGAAATCGAACCTGTTCTGTGGTGTTTGGGACTGTTTTGGGAAGCTAAACTGATGCCTGTTTAGAGGATATCTGAGAGTGATGGTGCTGCAGTGAAAGCTGATCGTGTTCTGTGGTGAGTGGAGCTCTTAACCACCACTGAGCTAAGCTGCGATCAAGCTAAGTTTTTCCTGCCTCTCATTTTTTCCCCTCTTTCTATCAGCACCACCTCTCAGCAAGCTTCCACACCAATCAGTGACCCCTCTGAGATAGAAATGGGTGGAATGTGTTTATTTAGATGCTCAAACATGGATTGGTAATCAAACACCATCATTTTGAAATACCATAGTATCTTTTCAAGTGAAACTATCTTAAATCTGGGCAATAAATCTAATATTTCTCCTGCTGAGATTGCTGTAATTTTAATTTAAGAACATTTTTACTTGTTTTAAGAGATTGTATTGAGTAAATTTATCTCACTGTAGCGGCAGATTATTTTGCTTGACTAGATTTAAGATCATTTCTCTTGACAAGATCCTATTTTTGCAGTGTTATTACTGTTATACAGTACTGCCCAACCTTAGATTATCAAATTTGTGGGTGGGCCAAACCTCGGTCTCATGGACAAACATCTTTCACATACAGACCCTCGACCTCTTTTGCATTTTAAGTGTTCATTCTCTCTCGTTACCTCTCACATCATTTTGCTATATTAAGCACTTCATAGATGTAGAATAAAGCAATTTATTAACTGATTTTTAACTGCTAAGCGTTGTTCAAACACTGCAGTAGGAGATAAACGTACTGGGAGATACTGGCTTATATATATATATATATATATATATATACACACACACACACACACACACACACACACACACACATATATATATATATATACAAACTGCACTGTGAATTTCCCTGCTGTGGGACTAATAAAGGATTATCTTATGTTATTTTATATAAAAAATTATTGATACTATATTAAAGTTACAACTTTTTTTAGAATATTTGGCATGGACTTTCTGAGGCTGTGTATACAAACATTTTTAAATAAATACATTACAAAAAAAAAAAATATTGAAGACCAAACACCCCCCAACAACCCAATACCGTCCAACCCATGACCACCATCTCCCAACCTCCAATGCCACCAACCTCCAATACATCTACCCCCCAAACTGACCCGCTTAAATCTCACTCTAACAAAAATGTAAACATTGGCACCCCTGGCTAACCTAATATTATGCTAGCTTCTACAGTTCCAAACACCAAGGAGCAGGTTTTATTTTGTCTTTCTGTCCCTTCAGAGCCAGTTGTCCAACTTCACTCGCTCAGATTTGAGTCACTGAGTGCGTTTACATGCACTCAATAATCCGATCATAATCGGATTTCTGCAGTTATCTGATTATTTAAATGGTCATGTAAACAGCACACTCTGATTTCTTAGATCAGAGTAAGGTCTAGAAATCAGATTACGAAATCTGATAAAGAGAGCTGGATTTTAGCTCAGTAATCAGATTTGCATGTAAACTCTTTCTCTGATTTCTTTCAGATTTCTCAGTCTGGGCATGTGTGAAAACAGACGGTGGTACTGGAAATAAGCGAGCAGCATGCTTGATGAAATTAAACATTTAAATATTCTCCATCTTCTAGATGATGTACGTTCATATTTTCAGGTAAAGTGGTGCAATGATTTTTAAAAAAAAGCCGCAGCATGAAGTTTGAGCTTTACGTTACGTTTACATCACGTCTTCTTCTGTGAGTTTATTGGCTGGTTATAAAGCAGGTATCCAATCACTGTCTGACTCATGTGAACCCGGAGTTTCCCCATTATCTGATTACTCAAGTGCATGTAAAGGCGTTGATCAGACTACTGACAAAATCTGATTTTCTGCAGTTATCAGATTATTAAGTGCATGTAAACGCATTCACTGTCATCTAAACTTGTGTCAATGCTTTAGTTAGCCAGAATCTGCTAATGCTAACCAGCTCCTCTGTTCTAGTTGGCAGCACTGTTTAACATTTAGCAGTTGTCAGATGGCTTTAGATTTGTTGAATGATGACGGCACAAAAGTGACATAAATGCTTTTACGCCATTGCAGTATGGTATGTTACCTGTGTGTCATGCACCTCTAAATCCCATTGTTTCAGGTAAAGGTACTGACCTCCTGAATGAGGGGGCGGACCACACAGAAGCACCACCCCCTGGCCTTCCCTCACAGACACCGCACTTCTCCGGTGAGTCTTGAAGTTTTCCAAGTCTGAAAGAAACAAGAGTGAAAAATCATGAATAATTCACTGGTTTCTGAGAAAGAGACAGAGAGAGAGACACTTTACAAAGGGCACATGAAAAAGATTAACCTTGAAACTCAGCGAGAAAGAGATAATAAACTTCAGTGATTGATGCAGCATCTTAATGCTCATGCAGAAACTATATTCAGCATGAAATTAGCAATCTATTCTTGCGTTATGAGGTAGTGTGGAAAACAGAGAGAATAGAGCTCATTTGAGAGCAGTATTGTATATAAATAGACATGTTGTTGCTCAGCCGGAGTCAGGGCCTTGCTGCAGTGTGCAGAGAGACAGGGTAAACAGCCTTTAGCCTGACTGAGGGCTATATCACCCCCCATCGCGTGTGTTTATTAAGAAAACTCAAAGCTCCTGCAGGCTAAGCCCCTAAGTTTGAGGATCCCAGTTAAAGTGGACGGACACGGTCAAGGAATAACTTTGCCAAGTTCATCTCACATCATAATACACTGAAGAGTTTCTTGCTAATTTCTGCTTTTTATTTATTGGCTGAATTTGACATATCGGAAATAAAATATGCCACAGTTTGTTTTATTGTTTGCCAATATGTTCAGACATGCAAACTCCACCTTTATTGGTTTGCAAATATTTTCCAGGACTTATTTAACAAGACTTATGAATTTGCTAACTAAAAAAAGGACAGCAGCTTTAGTTGCTGTAATAAGATTAAAGGGGTGCAGCTGCATTTTGTTTTGCATTTTGTCTGTTTGTATTTAGAGCAATTTCCATCTCAAAGTGCAAAATATTGGGAGGAGATTATTAGAATGTAGACCGATAGTAAATACTGACTATGCGCTATTTAATGCCTGAGAAAAGCTTATTTTTGATGCTAGCATGGCTGCCATTGCTAATGCTGTGAGAGAAAAGAGAGAATTTTTTCAAATACATTTATTTTAAAACAAAACATTTTGTGAACGCCCGCCATGTCATGCCATTCTCAATTTGATTAAGCAAATAAACTGGATTTAGTAAAACAATGTTTTAAACTAGATTTTTTTTATTCATCATTTGTGCGTATATTTTTACACACACACACATTTTCTAAGCTGCTTATCCTTCTGGGTCGTGGGGGAGCTGGAGCCTATCAGAGTGGTCACTGGGCGAAAGGCAGGAAACACCTTGGACAGGTCGCCAGTCCATCGCACATTCACACCTAGGGGGCAATTTAGCGTGTCCAACTGGCCTGACTGCATGTCTTTGGACTGTGGGAGGAAACGTATATTTTACACTCATGTCTAAATGAAGATTTTTTTCTTTCCAGAGTGCACTTCTAATAATGGTGCACTATTTTTTATACTCTATTTAATGCTGTAGTTTGCAGTTTGGGATGCCTTTTCACCTACCTGGTGGAAACAGGCTCGCACACAGAAAGCAAGTGAGTCAAACATACGGTTATTTTGCGCTGCTCATATGTTAATTACGAAGTTGCACCTGTGTTCATTTGCATGGAAGTTCTAAGTAGATAAGTCTCTAAATTCGCCGCCCTCACCAGCGCAAAGTGTCTGTAAACTGTTAGCAATTAGCCTCTTTTAGTAAATCTGGTCCATGGTCTTTTAAGTCACCTAAATACATTCATAATAAATGGAGGTCATTCTAACCTCTTACTGTTCTTAATTTGTGTTCTGTTTGAATTTAGACCTGATTCTGGCTCACATCCATATTGGTCCATATTGGAGTGTGGTGCTTGGTCCCCGAGGATTGCCACTTGCAGCCATATTACTGCAATTTATTTTGTTGACAGTTGCTTAGCAGCTCAGCGGTTAAAACAGTCCATAGAAACCCACATTCTATGAAAAACTGCATCAATTTCAGATGAAAACTAAGCTGTAACAGATAATCTTGGTTGCAAACATTATTAAGTTTATTAATTTAATATAAAATATATCATTTTTGCACCCTGTGTTTGAAAGCTGGCTGTGTCCAAAACACATTTATCTGTACAAAATATTATGTCAATCATCATAAGTGCAATCATCAGTGTAGTAAGTATGCACCCTAAGCTAATGTTAGCTACAGCTCATTTTACCTATAAACTGACATATTTAGCACGACTGTAGCAAAAGATTTACTGGCTTTTTTAATGAATGAGAAAGAAATACTTTCTAAATCTGCTGCTGTAGCATCTGATGAGAACCTGATTCAAATCTATTGGAAGATGTTACAGAAGTTATCTCAGTTAGAAGAAGTTATCTCAGTTCTGATTGGCTCATAGAAATAAAATGCTGTGGCATCTGCCATGGGCCACGCTGCCCTGAGGAGTTCAGGGGGTGAGGCCATGCAAAGTGGCTGTCGGGATGTGCCATCTTCCCAGGTTAAAAAGCACAATTATTGTTGCTGTTGTTGCTGATGTGGTGTTATTGCCGGAGGGGTTGTGTTTATTAGAGTAACTATGTCTGAGGACGGTGGGCTTAGAAGTGTAACTAGTGGTCAGAAGTGTCTATCCTCCTCTGCACTTGAGCTAAATGAAAACTTGACACAAAACTTATCGCTGTTGTCAAAAGAAAACCTTGTGTCGCCATTTTTGATGTTTTTCAGTTTTTGACATTTGAAAATGCCTGTTGGCCTTTACACTGTGTGTAAATTTCACGATGAATGAACTTAAAGAAATGACGGAAAATGACTCTGAAAAAAGTCTGGTTCCATTGACTTACATTAAAAGTAAAGTAGGTTTATTCCTTCTCAAAGCTCCTGCAGGCTAAGCCCCTAAGTTTGAGGATCCCAGTTAAAGTGGACGGACACGGTCAAGGAATAACTTTGCCAAGTTCATCTCACATTATAATACACTGAAGAGTTTCTTGCTAATTTCTGCTTTTTATTTATTGGCTGAATTTGACATATCGGAAATAAAATATGCCACAGTTTGTTTTATTGTTTGCCAATATGTTCAGACATGCAAACTCATGAGGTGTAGAATAGGTGACAAACTTCCTGTCATCCACCTTTATTGGTTTGCAAATATTTTCCAGGACTTATTTAACAAGATTTATGAATTTGTTAACTAAAAAAGGGACAGCAGCTTTAGTTGCTGTAATAAGCTATAAAGTTACCATTTTGGAGATACAAGGTTTTCTTCCGACAACAGCGATACACTTGACCATGATTGAAAACTGACCTCATTTGCATAACTGACCCTTTCTTTCATTTTTTTGCTTTGTTCATTAATAGCCAGTGAAATATTCCTTTGACTGTTCAAACGAGCAATTTTAAAGGCACAATTGGGGCTGTGTTTTTTCAGTAAGCTTCCCGGAATGAACTATGAGCTAAAATGTGGCTGGTGCTTAGACTCGGTGCTCTCACCGAAATAATGCACCCGGAAAATCCTCTGCTGGGTAAAAACAGACACTGCCCCAGGAATGCACTCTCACAAATGCAAACAACGTTCTGCTGATGCAACAAAACCTCGTATTTGTTTCTGATGCGTTTGAGGGACGAAACTCAGTGGAGATACTTAAAGCGTATGACCCAAATCTATCACACAAAAAAACCAACAACAAAAAACACAGATAAAACAGAAGCCTCTAAAGCAGTGGCACTCGGTCCCAGAGCTACAGCTCCAAACACCAAACAGTTTAGAGTCTTCTCCGCTCTTACTCACCTGATACCCCCTCAAAAGAAAAGCAGCTGATGGGCTGATGAAGGATTTCTATTCTGTGTAAAGTCTAATGCAAAAGTATGGGCACCCCAGGTCAAATTACGTCAAATATGCTCATTTTCTAACTGCAAAATAAGTCATATATTTTTACATTTTTTACATAATTCAGGGATTCAGAGATTATTTCATGTAATAACTTCCTGTGAAGGAGCTTTTAGGCCTCTAATAGGATCTCAACAGGAGAAATATTAGATTTATTGCCTAGATTTAAGATTTTAGATAAAAATTTTACTTGACAAGATGGTATTTTTTGCAGTGCAGATATATTGCGTTATTTGAAAATGATGGTATTGCAAAATGATGGTGTTTTAATTACTAATCCATGTTCAAACATGAACCTGATTGGTGGTGTGGGAGCTCACCAATAGGTGAAAAATAGAAAAAACTTGATCGCAGCTCAGCTTTACCACAAAACATGCTCAGCTTGCACTCCAACACCAGCCACTCAACTCTGCCCTCTCAGATATCCTCTAAACGGGTGTCAGTTTAGCTTCTGCATGCTGGAACCTGGTGGGGGAGGGCAGAGGTGTTACCCTCTACATTATACCAACTTTCCTGCAATAACTTTCCAGCAAGGCCGTCACACAGGTTCGTTAAATTCCATCACCCGATTTAACATAATGAAGTATTGATTGGTCAAACCAAGTATTTGGTAACAGCTGCAAATAATACTGGGCGTTCTTCAAGAGCAGATTTGGAAATGATCAGATGAACACACTGACCTACAGAAAATGCTGAATTCAGAAAACAAGCAAACAAATTGCGTATTAAAATGTGAGGATGCGTTGAGTAATTTTCGCACAACAAAACGCCATCTCATTTCATCAGGGGGGTGCCAAAACTTTTGCACAACACCCGGGACTAGCACTGAATCACTGCTGTGAAAAGAAAAGAAAAGAAAAAAAAATGTAAAAGTTGCGAAAGAGCCTCAAGCTTCCTCGTGATCTACAGCGATTCCAGCCTACAAAACATTAAAAAATGAAACTCCCCGTCATCTGCAGTATAGTTTTATGGGATTCAGCAGACTGATTAAATGAAGGTGAAATCAATAACGGCCCCCCGAACAGACGAGCATGCTCGCACCCCACTGTACCTCCGTGATAGCGGCGGTATTTTGCCCAGCATAAGTCACACATCAATGGTTTTAATGGCTCCCCAAGTTATCAGGCTCCCTTTTGTGTTTTATTCATCGTGAGCTCGCTGGCAAACAGTGCAAAGCCATTCCAAAAATACTCCAGAAGCTGAAATTACCTTCTTTCCTCTGGAACTAATTTATTATTTTTTTCTTCCCTGACAATTGAT